CTAGAGTGCAGTACCCAGATCTGTGAGTGAACAATGAAGTACTGAAACGTTTTATGGGTGTGTGTGTGTGTGTGTGTGTACGTGTGTGTGTCTGTGTATGCATGTACAATTGTACATGTGTCTGTGTGTATGTACATGTGTGTATCTGCACATGTGTCTGCGTGTATGTACATGTATGTGTGTGTGCGTGTGTGTGTTTGTGTGTATGTACGTACATGTGCCTGTGTGTACATGTCTCTGTGTATGTACGTACATGTGTCAGTGTGTATGTACATGTATATGTGTGTATGCGTGTCTGTACGTGCCTGTGTTTGTATACATGTGCCTGTATGTGTGTGTGTACGTGTGTCTCTGTGCATGTGCGTACATGTTTCTGTGTGTGTGTATGTACATGTCTGTGTGTGTGTACAGGTGTCTCTGTGTGTGTTTGTTGGTGGCGAGTAACTCTAAGGCCTGGCTAGTAGCTCAGGACTTGAAATGTTAAGCCCTACTTTAATGAATTTTAACACAAAATATAATACTCAATTTTTTTGGTAAAATATAAAATATGATGTTACGTCAAGTAAATAGATACCTAACATTTCACACTTTCAAATTGCGCACACTCGTGGGATGGTGCCAAACTGCATTAAAAATGTACTTAAAAATCTCCATAGGCAACAAGTTAAAAGCCTTTACCTGTTACCAGTTTAGAGTTACACAGGAGGTCTGGTGCTAGAATTATTGCTCTCTCCCTGACGTTCGTGGCGATATCTCATATATGTGGTGCGATCACGGTTTACATATGCATATTGGACCAACGGTGCAGTCGCCATTGCGTGTAAATGCAGTGGAACGGGAACGCTTTAAATTTTTTAAATTATTTAATATCATTACTTATTTTATTTGAATTTTATTTTATTTTAATGTTATTTTTACACTGCCTCTTCAATTCTTTTTTTTTTTATCACTTTCTATCACAGGGAATGCAAACATTCCTTGTGATAACAATAAGTATTGACAGGTCCTCTTTACTGAGACATTTGGGGTCAATTAGACCCCAAATGTCTCCTCTGCCCTTGAAAGCATTGGATCAGTCTCAGATAGGTTTGATCGGATGCTTTCAAAAGCTAAAACTAGCTTGTAAACAAAGATCAAAAACTGGAAGTGACTAAATCCTAGTTCCTTCTGATTTCTGACGTCACACAGTTGAAGGATAGACACCTCTCACTGCGTGACCAGAGTCAGATGCCGCTAGTCCCATCCTTTACCAAGCTCCCTGATCGCATGGGCAAGCCTGGTAAAGGCAGCGGCAGTGGGGGAAGGGGGCCCCTTTCCGCTGTCTGCAAAAGTAATCCAATGGCTCTTTAGCTGCTCAGATTACTTTTACATTGTACAGAATTGCTGGCTGTAAAGAATTATATCTCAGTCAGCGATGACTGAGATATCGCCCTTCCCATTCAAGGATGTTTGGGTACGTCCTATGGACAGGAAGTGGTTAATTTTTTTAAAATGTAGATGTATGATTTTTTTTTTTTTTTAGAAAGCTCATCAATCACAGATCATGGAATTATTTGTACTGTATTAGATTTAGCTCCTGTTTAGTTAATAATATAACCTTTATTTATGATAATTTACTCATACTATTTCTCTTCATACATATCTATAGATTTTCTCCAGCTGAACGATGTTGTGTAACAAACAAGTTTGTGTTATATTCAATATAAGAAGATGTGTGATTTCTATGTGATATTTCAAGATTCCCAGTTTTGTGGTCATTATGATAAGGGTTTAATCCCAGTTTGTCGTGATGAGGTCTCTCTGTTGCAGCTATAATACCTGAAAATAAGCAATGTTTTTAAAATGTGCCTTTATTCTGTTTCCCAGTCAGGGAATCAGGGTGATCTGGGTTACACCAAAATTTGTTCTTTCCAGTTCATGTACAGTATCTCTACTTGTAAACTAGGATGAAAGTTAAGCACAATATAGAGACATTACGGATGCCATGTTAGCTGATTTTAGCTGTCATTTGTCAAATGTAAGTTCCAAAATTGGCACTTTAATTTTATGCAAAACACCAAGAAATGTTGACAGATTCATGCAGACTAAATTTGGAACAGGTATAGTGGAAGAGGTGAATTTTGCAGATGAAATCCAGTTAAAATTGCATATTAGCTACCTGTAAGTGTTTTTTTGGGGTATCATGCTACATTTTATTTCAAAGTTCTGAAAGGCTAAGTTCACCTCTTAAAAACAAAATAATATATATTATAATTATTTTTTCCATAAGAGCCTGCAAAGCATTGCACATGCAAACAGTGGACCACAGGTGTAATATCAGGCTTCTGCAGACACTTCCTCCAGCTCTCTGCCCATACCTCTACCTCTATACAGGCTTTCTGTTACTGAGCTAGAGAGGAAGTGTAAATGAACTACGTGGTGGAAGATGGGACTTTATGTTTATTAATTCCCAGATCTCTGTGAATGAATGAACATCTATGTGCATGGGGCTCTTGGCATAGGAAGCAGGTCCATAGAAACATGTAACATGCACCATGTTCCTAAAGGTGACCAAAGCCTTTTAATCTAAACTGAATTTTAGCAATGGAGGCAAGGTAAATATATTAAAGCAGGGGTCTTTAAAGCTGAGTTCCACCCAAAAGGGGAAGTTCCGCTTTAATGCTTCGTCCCCCGCTCCCCACTAGGGATTGGCACTTTTGGGGAGCAGGGGGGAAGCGGGTACTTGAATTTGAGAGGCCCGCTCCCACTTCTGCTGCGATCCTCCCTCTTCGTAGTCTTCTGGGACACGTAACAGGTCCCAGAAGACTACGGGGCCATTCACAAAGCGCAGCACTTCTCGCACACAGCCATCCAAAGCAGTGTGCCCAAGCTGACAGGAGCACTGTTAGTAAACAAAACAGTTCTCCTCCTCATTGGAGATCGTCGGAAATCACCAGGCGCCACTGGGTAATCACAAGGGGATCGACAGCTGCAGCCACGAATGGCAGAACTGCAAATTCACGTATATATATGTGATTTTGGCACCCATGCCGCCCTGTAGCAGTATTTCTGCTATAGGGCAGACAGGAAGTGGTTACAGATATAAAATGTTGGGGGACTCCAGTTGAGTTTTAATTGTTTTAGTATAAAACTGAAGATATTGCAAATGATAGGGGGGTTTAGGGCAGAACTCCAGCCTAAAATGATAAAAATAATTAGACCCCTTAAAGATAAGGCAACAAACCTGGCGTTCACCTGCCTGTGACTAGACAGTGAAGGAGAAGCAGCATAGTGATGAGCTAATCTATCTTTCATTCTAATTTCTCTTCCTATCAGCATGGCTCCTTGTGCTGCTTTTTCCTAACACTACTAATATAATACAGCACCTCTGTACAGGGATATCAGGTCAAATTTCAAATTCAAATCAGGTCAAATTTGTGCATTTCTGCATTTCTATTCTGCAATAAAGAGCTCACAATATTACAAATTAGGTTTGGTTCCGCTTGAACCACTTTAGCTTTTTTCCTTGTATATCTGTTATATCAATTTTTGTATTTCCACTATGGACCTGTATATTTATCAATAACTTTGTAATTGTTTTGCTTCCCAAATCTAAGCATTGCAAGAGAGATCTCTATAACTGATCCAGTTGTGGTGAGATAGCTATAACTTACAACTACAGCAGCATTGGCAGACAGTGGCTCAATCCAAATGACATCTTGCAGATCATAGAAACTTTAATCAAAATCGTGTGCAGACATTCACAGATGAACATCAGCTAGGTCAAAAAATCATAGTATGTCTAGCTTCAACAATTGCATGTGCTCAGAACAGAAACAAAAGACATACTGAAAACAGGGTGGGACCGGCTTTGTAGAACATCTCCTAGCTATAGAGTGAGGAAGAGACACAATTATTTAAAGGCAAACAACCAACAATGCATGTGTAACATGATTATTTAAGATAACTAATATATGTACATTGTTTTTTCTTGGCAGGCAAGCTAGTCTTGCTTTTAAAAGCATTGTCATGCAAATACTATTTTTTTCTATAAATATATCTCCTTTGGTTTTAAAAAAAAGCATAGTTTTATTGAAATAAAAAATATACATTTTATGCTATAATTTGTCCCTTGTAATACAAAGCAATTCTTGGGTATCACTTTGACAACCGGTAATTGTGGTAATAACTGCAATGCAAACAGCAGCAGGGAGAGAGGAACTAGACATAAAAAAAGAGATGTGTCTTAAAAACTTTGCTGAAGTTTTGAAGGGTGTATTTCTTACATTCAAGATCTTCAAATGGATAAAGAGGAACTAATCTCTGGAAGCTATGCAACTTCGCAGGCAAATGGAAAGGAATTAGTCACTATTTTTCCTACAGTTGATATTTCTCCTATTTCTGACTAAGCCCTCATGCACACTGGATGCTTTACAGCTGCTAAAAAAAGTGGTAAACTGCGGTAAATTGTGGCAAACCAGCGCTTCGGGACGTTTTTTTTACCAAAGAAAAACATTTTTATTTGGTCAAAAAACCTCTAAAAAACGTTAAAAACCGCAAACGTGAAAAACGCAAAAAAAGTGGCAAAACGCAGCTAAACTCATAAAGCTAAAAATGCTAAAAAAAAAGCTGAAAAACTCACATTTTTAATCTGACTTAACACAGCTAACATTACCAGCGTTATGAAAATGCTCAGTGTGCATACAGCCTTATGCAGAGTGTAGTGGACAGTAGACCAGCGCAGAGTGGATTCACCCCTTTCAATTCAATGAAGTGAAAACCTCTCCTGCCTCTGCATTTGCCTGGCACTGTCTGTACTATCTGTCAGATAAACGCATGCAGATTTTTGTTACAATTTATTAGAAAATGTTCTGCTGGTGTCAGTATGTCATTATTGCCAGAATTCAGGTTCAGCTTGTGGAAATCAACTGAATCAGTTATAGAGATCTCACTTGCAATGCTTAGATTTGGAATTTATACTGTATGCAAACCTTCAGCTTGTAAAACAACCCATTCAGTTTAACCACTTCCTGTCCGGCCGCTGTATATAAATGGCCGGACGGTGACAACGCAGGGGCGGGTTGCTGTTTATAAATGGTGCTTGCCATTTTGGACAGTGCGTGCTCCCTGGGAGCGTGCGGCACCGCGTTCTGATGCACCGATCGCTGTACAGGTCCTATGTGTGAGGTCCCCATTATGTGATCACTGATTGGCCAATCAGGGATCACATGAATAGTAGTAAGCAAGATGTCACTTCTGACATCATTGCTTACTATGTGAGAACTATTCACAACAGCCTTGTACCATGTGACAAGCTGTGACCAATCACAACTCACACAGTATATCTCAATGGCTGCAAGAATGCAGCCAGAGAGAAGGAGAAATGATTGCTTTTACAGCCTTTATGGGTGTAAAAGCAATCAGTGTAAAAAAAAAAAAAAAAAAAATCTTCTTCACCCCCCACAAGTAGTACAGTGTCACTATAGTGACTATACTGCTAGGGTGACAGTATTTAAAAAAAAAAAAAAAACATAAATAATATTAAACAAAAATAAAAATGTAAACAAAACATTTTGAAAAATTATAATTTTTGGTTATAAACTAATTTGGGTTATTTTTTTTTACTAAAAAGATAGCTGAATACATTGTGGCCAAGATTTATGAAGAAAGATTATTTATTTGCAAATTTTATAAGAAAAACACTTTTTTTCAAAATTTTGGGACTTTTCATATATATAGCAAAAAAAAAATAAAAATCCCAGTGGTGAATAAATACCACCAAAATAAAGTTTTATCTGTCTCAAAATAAATGCTAAAAAATTCATATGGGTACAGTGTTGTATGACTGCGCAATTGTCATTCAAAGTGTGACAGCACTGAAAGCTGAAAATTGTCCTGCACAGGAAGGGGGTAAAAGTGTCCGGATATGAAGTCGTTAAAATAGAAATGAAAGGTAAAACATTTGTGTATAGTTATTAAAAACATTATAAATACCTTTTTCCCTTTTTATAAGTGATCACATACACTCTGTCCTCAGCTGCATAGAGAGGTGGGGCTGGAGAAACAGCAGTGCACTGACCTTCCCAGTGAATGGGGAAGGAGGCGTGCCAGGACAAGTCCGATCATTGGAGGAGAGCACACTGAGTTCTCAGCACACCTAGAAAACTGTCCACGCTGTGCTCTCATGTCTAGTGTGGCCAATTTTTAATGCGAAAGCAGAGGGACTGGCAAGATCACCAGGTATTTCACACAAAGGAAACAATGCAAAGAGAACAGAATACTGTTTCATACAAGTACATGGTATGGGTTTACATATTCTTTAAAGAGAAACTGAACCCTGGAAGCTGTGCCCCCCAGAAGTCAGACAGAAATCAAAAGACTAGTTGCTACTATTACTCGTGGTCTCCCTGCGATCCATCTTTCCCCCATTTTTGACTTTTCATGCTTTGTTCTGCACTGTGTTTTTGTGTGAAGGCAGATATCTCGATGTAGGCACGGTTCTGCTTTTTTTTTAGGAGGAATTAAATACAAAATCTAGATGTTTCAGGGTACTGCTTAGGCACAATTAAAATGTATAAATGTTTCCTATAGCATAGCAACTCTAAACTTTTCTGAGTTCCAGTCCACTTTAAGCCATTTGCCAGGAGTTCAGCTTGAAAATCTCTCTGCACTGGATGTTTTATCTTTATTTATCTAGTTATGAAATCACCTACAGATGAAAATAGGTAAAAAGAAAATGTTAGTTTCCAGACAACACGCAACATCAGCAGTTCTCATTTTGGTGTTAAGATACAGCAGGAAAAGAAGCTGGACTCTGAACAACAGCATACCAGCTCCTGCAATTTTCCCTATTATTGTGTCTCTGTATCACGCTATCTTTGCTTTTGTGGTTTAAATAAATAAAAAAAAAATGAACATTTACAAAGGGGAAAACTGATACCGCACATAAGGAAATGTGTTTGAAATGAAAAAGCTATATTGCCAGTGACATTCACAGACTGTGAGGATACGAGTGTAGCATTCACATTGTGCAGAGATTATAGTAGGTAAAGCAGGGGATAATTAAATTCCCCGGCACGACAGAATGAAGTAATGTTTTCTGAGTTATCTAATTGCTGACTGGACATGTTGTGTTTCCAAACAAGGCAAGTAGAAGGACAAAGAACATTCTCCACAAGCTGTGATTGAATTGGAATCCTAGAAAGAACAGGGGACACGTGATTAGGTGTTTGGAGATTTAGCTGCTGTAGTCTACTAGACAATCATCAGAAGATGAAAGAGTTGTTATGTAGACAAACAGTGAATAATCTTGATAAAGGAGAATTGTTTAGCAGAATAGGATTGTAAAGACAGTGCATTGAATGACATCATCACACACTACAGATGGATCTCAGCCCTGTCTACCCCTCAGCCTATTCACTCTTCTATATTAAAGACAATTTCCAATTTATAAATGACAATGACAGTTTGGTAAAGCATTGGGTATTTTTTTAAGTTACCTTTTTTTTAATTTTTATTTACCTTTTTTAAAAAATCAGTTTATCAATGCTGCTGGTCTCCTGATGCCTCTTTGCAGCTTCGTAACTACATGCATGAACTTTAGCTAGTAAAAGCTTGTTAGTGTTCCCTTTAAGGTGGTATCTGCCCTATCTTCTGTCAGTCTGAGCATATGAAGTTAGGAAGCGGTTGCTAGGGTGGTTTGTGCAAAGGGAAGAGCTAGCCATGAAGAACCCCATCCAATGGTAGTAAGATAACCATATGCTCCTCTTCAACAGGCCACACCTTGGGCCTGGTTCAGCAATGCCATGGTAATAGACTATGAGTGTAGCATGAGCTGATATTCAGAACACTGTCAACCAATACTTCTATGCAGGACCATGTGTTTATGGAGAGAGGTTGGAATGCCATCTATTTGGACTTTGTTATATTAGTTGATGTTAAAGGAATGGTAAAGGCTTGTTTTTTGTTGTTTTTTTTTTAATATTAATAAACAGGTTTATACTTACCTGCTATTGGTATTGCACCTGATATTAACATTGGTATTACCTGGTATTGCACAGAACAGCCCCGATCCTCCTCTTTTCAGGTCCCCCGCTGTAGGCTCTTCCTTTTCTCCGTGTGCCACTTTTCAGAAAAGTAAGTTCCCTGACTAGACATTCCATTAAAGGATAAGCTATGATGTATGTAATGCCCAACATGTTGCCATGGAAGGTTCTCTCACCCTCGTGGGCCTGGTACACACTAACGACAGATGCCTCTTTCTGTGGCCTTCTGAATGATAAATAGAATGGGAACGATTCTGCTGCATCCATGCGCAACCTCTTAATGGTACAAGTGCTGACATCCCAACTTTCTATGTTTCACATTTTACAGAAGGCCCATGGTGCTGAATCTGACTTATAAACTGCTGCTAGGGTGCACTACAAGCTGCATGGCATTTCATGGATGTGATGACAACAGTGGACCATGTCTGTATAATGCATGCCTGCATTAAAATAGACACTTGTATTCATCTTTAAAAGCTTGTGTGACAGTTTAACAATGGAGGAGCTGGGAGATGGGGACATAATGATCTCACCCTATAACAGGAAATTTTTCATGGCATGATCACCAGGTATTATTTCAGCAAAAGCAGCAGTTTTAAAAATACTGAACATTACTTTTGAAAATACACGAACATGTTAAAAATGTATATGACATTTTTACTGAGTGGGTTTTGCACATATACTTAAAGAAAAAAGAAAGCCCTAGCTTAATGAATTCTGTGCCATGCACAGGAATTTGAATTCAGAGTTTATCAAGACATTTTGCAGGAAAAGGTACGACCATTAACTGATAGCAGGCAGATGGGTGATGCAACAGGACAATTGGAACACAATGCAAGAGTACCATTCAAAAAGGTGGGCTGCATCCCACCAAAATGTCAGCAAGTATTAAACGTTAAAGTGAATGCTACTCCTGCAAATTTCTGTAAATGACTGCTTGCTGCACTACTGTTGAGGTCTACAAATAAAAAGAGCACTGCACAATTAAACCAAGTTTGCTGATGCTTGTGTTCCTAATGTGTTGTGACTTAGGACGTACCCTTTGCAAAACCACTATCAAAAATTGTGAGGTACCCTTTTATAAAAATTGTGACTGTTTTATATCTGGTAATATATTCACATATATGTGGTGTTGTGGGCCACGTTTTGCACGGGCATGAGAGCCCATTCATTTGAATGGACTCCCGTGCCCGTGACACGCAGGGAAGAAGTCCCTGCATTTCTCTGGAAAATGCAGCCCGCACGGGAACCTCGGTTGTTTTTTTTTCCAGTGCGGGCGACGTGCCATTAGAACTAATAGCACTTGCTCGCGGGTCTGCATTTCTCTGTGCTGGTGGTGTGGCTGCACGGATTTTCGTGCGGATCCGCAGCGGCACCACCCACATAGAGACCTAGCCTCACTGACTTCTGTTGCAGGAATGTGTTTTAAACATTTTTCACTGATTAACAGCTGCAGCAAATCAGCTGTATGAATACAATGTCTCAGTGGGGGTTATTCCATTCACCTTGTTTGAATGGATAAAGGAATGTTAGGTTATTTTTTTTTTTCTTCAGACACTTCTCTGAACAAAAAAATCTTGCCTTGTATGGCCAGCCTAAGTTCTAAATCCTAAGCCTCCCACCCCTTCCTACAACACAGCAAGCAAATCCTGGAAGAGATGGTCTAGTAGTCAGTTAAAAATAAAAGAGTTTTAGTAGCAATAATAATGACCATCACAGTAATGTATATTATTACATAATCGGTAATGCTCCTGCATACAATTACTTTCTATCCCAAATACAAAATGTGTTGAACTGAAGGGGATTTTTTTTCCGAAACTACAAATCTTAGTTGTCTTATCTGTTTTTAGCTGAGGAGACATGTTTACATTTAAAGTAAGATTGTGTAAGGCATACAAGGTTAATGTCAGAGCTGCTGCCTAGGCTGAAGAATCTATACTAAGACAGCTAAACAAATGCTGCTTGCCTCAGAGAGAAAACAAGGGTGATTTGGGACTACTGACAACGATCAGTGAACAGTTAACAGTGAGAGTCCAGAGAAAAGGTTGCCTGGTACAGTAATCTGTTTGAAGTTTGATAGGAAAGGGCATGAAGGACTGGACACTGTTATTGGGACATGTACCAAGGCAAAAAAAAAAGTTTAAAAAACTGTATAGCAAGGAGCGTCTTCCTTTTAATGTGACGTCAAAGACAAAATTATAAAACACCAATCTCTTAATTTGCATGCTTGAAAAATGCCTTTACTCCGTATATGGTGTTATGAAACAATACGATTTCCTCAAACAGCATCAGCAACATCATACTCTGGCATCACATGTTTTGATTGTACAATTGATTTGCTTAACTGTTAATTAGCGACTGGCTTAACCACTTCAAGTCCGGACACTTTCACCCCTGTTAAATATCGAGACACTTATATATATTTAAGTGTCTTTCTTAGGCGTTTGAGGTAAAGTGTTCTAGTGCCAGGCTGATTTAAAACAGTGTGACTTTTCTTTAATTCACACTTGGCAAAAACATAAAATGAATACAAAAGATATAATAAAATGCAGAGTAAAATATAACAAAAGTTGTAGCTTATGGAAAAGAAATAAGCTTGGAAAAATATCTAGCTTCTTGCCTGTTCTATGATAAATGAAAAGTGTTTCAGTCTTGGCAGAGAAGACAACAGGTGTATCAAGGCTTTGTAGGCCTTAAGAAAACAAAAATGTCAGTATGTGTCAGCTGCAGAATGTATAGGTATGTGTGTGTGTCTGGCTATATGTCTAAGGCACATCTTATATATGTTTTAAAAGACCAAAAGAGCCAACCCACTAAACAGTTATTTCCTAATTCAGTGTGAGCTAAATATGTAAGAGCCTTATTTGTAAATCTTCTATACTTATAATTCTTAGTGTGACGTTATCTTCAAACCACTTAGACGACAGAAATACATAATACTGTTACGATGGACTGTTATGTGATCCTCACATACATTAGCTCCACATAACTTCATTCTTTTAGGTTCAACTTTCAGCATAAGGACAATGATCACATAAATGCATAAACATAACCAACAATAATTGAGACTATACTATAACACACTATTCCTAACTAATTAGTTAACTATATGAAATAATTATCTAACTAACTATATTATGGATTAGACATAATTTTCTTTATAAAAGACATATTCTTTCTTTGCTTTTTACTGCATACCAATATCTTATTGCATTCCGATAGCTATTCTAAGATGAGAAGCCCATGACCTACTGACCTCTTAGCCATGAATATACCATGGTTCATCTGAACACCTGTTTTCAAAGCCGTTCACACACGCAAGGTTTACATTTACACTACCAAAAGTGGCTTTCCATGTCACTTAAAGGAGTCAGAGATATTAAAGAATACAGATGGCTGTTTTAAGCTGAATTAATTATTCTACAACCCCCTTCCTGTCCTGGCCAATTTTCAGCTTTCAGTGCTATCACACTTTAAATGACAATTGCGCGGTCATGCAACACTGTACCCATATGAATTTTTTAGCATTTTTTTGAGACAGATACAACTTTATTTTGGTAGTATTTATTCACCACTTGGATTTTTATTTTTTTGTTTATGAATGAAGAAGTCCAAACATTTTGAAAAAAAAGTGATTTTCCTATATAATTTTGCAAATAAATAATCTTTCTTCATAAATATTGGCCAAAATGTATTCCGCTATCTTTTTAGTAAAAAAAAAATAACCCAAATTAGTTTATAACCAAAAATTATAATTTTTCAAAAATGTATTTTACATTTTTATTTTATTTCTTTATATTATGTTTTTTTTATTTTTTTAAACATACTGTCACCGTAGCAGTACAGTGCCACCATAGTGACACTGTACTACTTTTGGGGATGATGAAGATTTTTTTTTCTTTTGTTACACTGATTGCTTTTACACCCACAAAGGCTGTAAAAGCAATAATGTCTCCTTCTCTCTGGCTGCATTCTTGCAGCCATTGAGAAATACTGTGAGAGCTGTGATTGATCACAGCTTGTCACATGGTACAAGGCTGTTGTGAATAGCCTTGTACCATGTGACCTCTGTGATCATTCACAGATTTCACTAGTAGTAAGCAATAATGTCAGCAAGTGACATCTTGCGTACTACTATTCATGTGATCACTGATTGGCCAATCAGTGATCACATTATCTAGACCTCACACAGAGGTCCCGTACAGTGATCAGTGTTCTGCTGTGTCCTCCGGACACAGCGGGCACCGGATCGCGGTGTCACGCGCTCCCAGGGAGCGCGCACAGGCAGTGAATGCAGAGGCCGTTTCTAAAACGCCCACCCGCTCCTTCACTGCTCCCGTCCGGCCATTTATGTACATGGGCCAGACGGGAATTGGTTAAATAAAGCAACAGCAGCTTGTTTATGTAGTTATATCTCCATAAAGAGAACCTGTCACCTGCCCATGCTATCACACAGAGGGGGCTTTTTCACCTTCCTTTGATAGAAAAAAAGTTAAATGGAAAAAAAAAACTAAAGCATGGTTAAAAAAATTGAATTAAATAAAAATAATTTACAAAACAATCTAAATTACCCCTGTCCCTCCCCACGCATACAGACAAATGCAAACATACCTGTGGGTCCCACACATGTATGTAAACACAAATGCTGAGATGTTGCCCCGCACGTCATAGTGAGAGCAATAATTCTAGGGCCAAAATTGATGGCTATCACTAAATTGATTATTTGTAATGTATTTTGACATTTCAGGGTGATCGCAGTTTTAAGCCTTCACATGTTTGATATCTATTTACTCGATGCAACTCTCATCTTTTATATTTTACCAAAAGTATGATAGGTATGATATTGTATTTGTGTGCACTAAAATTTGTTTTAATATACTTTTTTCTTTAAAAAAATGTGCTTGATAAACAGCTGTGGCAATATGCAACATAAACAAATTGCAACTGCGACCATTTTATTCTTTAGAGCCTCTGCTTTTAAAAATATATAATGTTTAGGTGTTGTAATTAATTTTATAGCAAAAAGTGCTGATTTTGCCATGTAAAAATTGCCTTGGATGCAAAGTGCTTAAAAGACCAGTGCATACAAGTCCCATACTAATTTCCCCTATGCACTTTATCAACAGATCTTCCTATACTTCTTCTTTCACAGGCAAGCACATTATCAAAATGACTGCTAAGGACCCAGCCTTTTATGGTGAGGGGTCTGGCTTACCTATGTGTCAATTATTTTGCCATCTGACCAAAATTTAAAGGCCAGGAAGTGCACTATTGATTATTATTACACAGGATTTATATAGCGCCAACAGTTTGCTCAGCACTTTACAATATAAAGGGAGACAACACAGCAACGATACAGTTCAGTGCAAGAAGGTTAGGAGGGCCCGGCTCCTTGAAACTTTCATTCTAAGAGGGAGGGGCTATGGGTACAAAAGGTAATAACTGTGGGGGATGAACTGATGGGAGAAATAGAAGATTTGGTTATTAGCTGAAGGCAGGATAGGCTTCCCTGAAGAGATAGGTTTTCAGAGATTGCCTAAAAGTGAGTAGAGTAGGCAATAGGCAGATAAATTGGGGTAGAGAATTCCAGAGGCTCTGGAGAAGTCCTGGAGATGAGCATGAGAGGAGGAGACAAGGTAGATAGAGAGCAGAAAGTCGTGGGAGGAGCGGAGATGACGGTTTGGGTGATATTTGGAGACAAGATTGGTGATGTAATTGGGGGCAGAGTTATAGAGTTAGAGTTATAGTTCAGTTATATATTATTGTTAATGTTTTGAATTTTTTTCATTGGGCAATGGGAAGCCAGTGGAGGGATTGGCAGAGAGGGATGGCAGACATGGAATGATTGGTAAGTGGATGAGTCTGGCAGCAACATTCATGATAGACTGAAGAGGAGGAATAGTCTGTGGTAAGGTAGGCCAATGAGGAGGGAGTTACCATAGTCAAGGTGAGAGATAACAAGGGAGTGAATAAGTTGCTTAGTGGTTTCAGTGGTTAAAAATGGGCATATCTTGGGGATGTTCTGGAGGTGAAGTCTACAAGATTTGGACAGCGATTGGATTTGGGGCTGAAAGGACAGGTGGGATTCCAGGATTACACCTAGTACCTTGGCAGGAGGGGAGGGACTGATGGTTGTATTATTGATCTTGATGGAGAAGTCAGGGGAGGGGGCACAGGGTGGAGGGAATATTATGAGCTCAGTTTTAGAAAGATTGAGTTTGAGGAAGTGGGGTGACATCCATGTTGATATGTCACTTAGTAGGTTAGTAATGCGAGAGGAGACTGAAGGGAAGAGGTGAAGAGTAGAAAGATAGATTTGTGTGTCATCAGCATAGGGATTGTACTTGAAGCCATGGGAGTTTATCAATTGACCAAAGGAGGAGGTGTAGATGGATAAGAGAAGGGGTATAAGGACAGAACCTTGAGGGACCCCTAAAGAAAGTGGAAGTGGAGCAGAGAAAACAGAGTTATAGGTAACACTTAAGGAGCGCTGCGATAGGTAGGAGGAGAGCAGCTAGAGTGAAAACGAGGGGATGATCAACAGTATCAAAAGCCGCAGAGAGGTCAAGTAGCAAGAGTATGGAGTAGTGGCCATTAGTTTTAGCAGTTAGTAAATCATTAGTGAGTTTTAGTAGGGCAGTTATAGAGGACTATAGTGAGTGAAAGCCAGACTGTAAAGGGTCAAAAAGGTTGTTGTCAGTGAGGTAGGAGCTCATGCAACAACTAGACGTTCTAAGAGGTTAGAGGTAAACTGGATCAGGGAGATGGGTCTTAAGTTGTTCAGGTTGGTGGGGTCCATTGAGGGCTTTTTAAATATGGGAGTGATCTGTGCATGCTTTAGAGGGGAGGAGAAGGTGCTAGTAGAAAGGGAGAGATTGAAGATGTGAGTAAGGGAACATAGGATAGAAGAAGGTGACCGTAGTAGTTGTGAGGGAACAGGATCCAGGGGGCAGGTGCTGAGATAGGCTTCTGAGAAAACTTTAGTGACCTCTTTGTTAGTAGCAAGGTCCACAGAGGAAAGTGTTGAGGGAAGTTTAGTATAAGGCATGCTAAGTAGGATAGATGTCTGTGCAGTGGAGATGCCCTCACGAATTGCATAAATCTTGTATTTGGAATGATCGACAACCTTGTAAGCAGTGAGTGAGTTACTGGGTGGAGGTGGCGGTGGAGAAAGTAGAGACTTAAAAAGTAAACAAGAGACGATGAGCCTGGATGACACGGTATTAATAGGAGTGACAAATTAGGCCTGTTTGGCAGCATGGAGGGAGGAATTGTATTTTAAGAAAGCAGATTTATATAGGGTGAATGCTGGCTGGGATTTGTTTTTATGGCACAATCACTCCAGTGAACGGCTATGTCTCTTAAGATTTCTGGTGTCATCAGTTTGCCAAGGTTATAATGGTGAGGGTCTGATACTTCATGTAGTTAGAGGAGCAAGTGAGTCTAGTGTGGAAGAAAACAAACTGTTGTAGACAAAAGTGGCCAGGTCAGAGCAGGACAGGGGAGAAATTCTGTCATAGCGGTGGTCAGTTGCAGAGTAGAAGAGAGAGGGGTTAAAGTTGTGAAGGTTTCTGCTGGTGATTGTTTGCTGCTTGATGGGATAGGTGTTTGAAGATGAGAACACTGTGAAGGTGATGAGATTGTGATCAGAGAGAGGAAAGGGGGTGTTGGTGAGGTTGTAGGTAGTGCAAATAGGGGAGAAAACAAGGTCTAGGGTATTCCGATCAGAGTGAGTGAAGGACTGTGTCCATTGCGTTAGAGCAAAAGATGAGGTTAGGTTGAATAGTTGGGAAGTAGCTAGGTTGTTAACATTAATGGGGATGTTAAATCACCAAGAATGATAGTGGGTATTTCAGAGGAGAAAAAGTAGTGTAGCCAGGCAGAGAAGTCATCAAGAAAGCAGCACGACACCGGTCCAGGAGGCTGATCCTCAGAGAAATGGGAGAAAATAGCCGAATACAGTGAGTCTCAAAAGCAGAGAAGGAGGGTTAGGAAGGACTTGAAAGGTGCTCAGTGGTAATAGAAGCAACTCTACCTCCTTTCAAACCACTGGGTCTGAGGGATTGAGTCCAGTGGAGACCTCCATGGGAAAGTGCTGCGGGAGAAAAACAGAATCTGGTGCTTGAAGCCAGGTTTCTGTAATTTCTAGTAGGTTAAGGGAGTGGGAGACAAAAAGGTAATCGACAGAGGTGAGCTTGTTACAAACAGAGCGGGCATTCCAGAGTGCACATGAAAAAGGAAGGGTGGTTTTTAGGAGCAGGGGGATTGAGATTAAATTGAGTGGATTGCAGCTATTGCTGGAGGAAGGAGGGTGCCTGGTGTGGGGGTGAGATACTGGAGGACCAGGGTAAGGGGAGATATCCGCAGAGGTTAGGAGAAGAAGGCAGGATGAGGAAAATAAGATGGGATGTAAATGAGTGCACAAGTCTTCCTGTCCTGGTGTTTGGGTCAGCAGGTGGGTTAAGTATTAAAAGCAGGTGATGAGAGCAGTAGTAGGGAGATGGTAGAAGTGAGGGTGATATGTACGTATAAGCTTTGGGTTAAGCAGAGAGGTAAAGAAATGAGAGTTTGAGAACAGAGTATAATAATATGAAAAGGTGAAGTAGAGGGGGCATATTAAAAAGGTACATGGAGTGGGAATCAGACTTGTAGAAAATGTTTCCCAGGGTGTTTTGCTTGCAGTCCTTCCAGAGTGCAGTAGAGTTATTTGTTGTATTTTCCTGCTGCTTTAGTTATTCTGCTTTAAACTGCTGTGTTCAATTGCTGCTTCGCACTCCAACAGAAAATGCACCGTTTTCAACTGCAGCATCGCACTCCAGCAAAAAATGCACTCTGTGTTCAAGTGCTGCTTCGCACTCCAGAAGAAAATGCACTTTGTGTTCAACTGCTACTTTGCACTCCAGCAGAAAATGCACTCTGTGTTCTACTGCTGCATCGCACTCCAGCAGAAAAAATGCACTCATGCAGGACAATGCCCTATCTAGGACTGTATTCCCTGTCTGTGACTTCCCCCATAAGCTGGCCTACATTTATAGGGAAATGATCAAATGAGAAATCCTTCCCAACCCCAATTAGGAACTGATAAGGAACAGAGAGGCAAAATGGAGGTGAGAATCAATCACCACAAACAGACAGACATTTTGATGTCCTGATAGTTTGTTGCTATGGCGGCAAACACTGGATTAATTTGCTATTTCCACAAACGAATTACATGTAAGTCCTAAGGGGATTTGAGTGTACATTTT